CCCCCCCCCACCCCCCCCCCAACGCGCCCACGCTGGGCGGAGCCCGACGCGTGCCGGAGCTGACCAACACGCGCGCGCGCTCCGAGGGCCCCGCCGACGACGACCGTCTTCGTCGGCAACATTTCGTACGAGGCCACGGACAAGGACCTCAACAGCGTGTTCGGCGCGCTCGAGGACGTCAGGAGCATCCGCATCGCGACGGACCGCAACACGGGCTGGCCGATTGGCTACGCGCACGCCGACTTCCACTCGGTCGAGGCGGCCACCAAGGCCATTGACGTGCTCAAGGCGCAGAAGATTGGCGGACGGTCGCTGCGCGTTAGCTTTGCTTCGCAGACGCAGGACGCCGTTAACCGCCGGCGCGCGAGGGAGGGCGGCGACAGGGGCCAGAGGCGGTCGCGCGAGCCCAGGGAGCCTAGGGAGCCCAGGGAGTAGAGTGCCCGAGCGGCGGGTCGTGGCCGTGGATCGCTGGCTGGGCGCGGCTGACGGGGTGTAGACTGTGTACTTTATCTTGCCGTCGTGTGGGTGATGGCTGTATGATAGTGTGGATGTGGGTGCGGACGGCCAGGCTGGGCCGGTTCGCTTGCACGTGTACAAGACGGCTGATCATCACTCATCTTCATGGCCGTGGCCTGACGAACCAGATCCAGATGCCGTGAATGCTTCTGCCAGTGACAGCACCCGAGCGCCACTACCAGGCTGTCTCCTCACAAGGTCACCGCCAGGTTGCCGATGATCAAAGCATGGGTTTCGTCATCAAATGGCCGTCATCAAATGGCCGTCAGCATATGGCCGTCAGCATATGGGCCGTTCTAAGCCTTGGACGATCCCTTTCGGAGTCCCCAGGAACAAGGGAATGAAGCTTTGCCGGCTGTTTGAGGTTGAACATCCTTGCGCGGGCCGAGAAAACTCTCGAAGCATATTGATCCGTCGAATCATACGCTTCGACTTTAGGGTTGGCAAGGATGCAATGAAACGGCAGTCCAAGCGGCAGTGTAAATGGTGACGGCCAGCGCGAGCTACATGATGTTCTATGAAAAGGTCCGAGGTCGTCACGTCGTGTGCCAGTGACCGTCTGAAATAGAGGGAACGGCAAGTTGGGCAGCCTTCTTGGGCCTTGAGGTTGTGTCTGATGAAATCGATGTACATCAGGTCTCAGTACGATATGCCGCTCTTGCTCAAGGCAGGATGAGAGTACTGATGTCCCCAATGCGTCCTCAGTTGGCACCTGTTGGTGACACCTGTAGCAGATTGGTTGGAGGTGCACCTGAGGTGGCAGACCTTTTAGCGGTTGACAGCCCCCTTCGTCAGCATTGCGCGCTGATCGGCCTAGGAGGACCTGCCGGCCCGGGCGAGCCTCGGTCCAGGCGGCGTTTGGTGGACTGAACTGCTGCGGAGGATGCGTGACTGACTGACAAACCACCAAACCACCAAAGCCCAAAGCCAGAGACATCATCCTCCTCCTGCTTCCCACCTTTCCCGACTGTCGAACGACAATCGTCAAAACCCAAACACCAACTCTACGCCATCAAACACCAGGCCACACCTATACCAACTTTGATTCACCACCCAGCTACGTCCCAGACCTCCAAAACCCCGACACCCCGCCTCCCGATCTTGCCCCTCCCCTCACCATGTCCTTCCTTGGCGGGGCAGAATGCTCGACCGCGGGCAATCCGCTCAGCCAGTTCCAGAAGCATGTCCAAGGCGACAAGCAATTACAAGGAGACCGTCTGGCACAGAGGGGACCCAACGCACTCGCCGGAGGCTTCCGCAGCGGTGGCGGCAGCGCCCAGCAGGATGAGGTACGTCGCCTCTGGCCCGTTTTTGCAGGTGATGAACCGCCACTGACCATCGCTCGACCAGATGATGAACGGCTTCTTGAACAAGAACCCCAACCTCCAGCAAGAGATCCCCATGCCCAATGGCTCCATCCACATTGACCCCGCCCACGCCGTCCACCTCCGCGCCGCCTCGACATCCCCGACATGGACAAACGAGTTCCAGGCCCAGTCCTCCATGGAGGCCGCCTTCAATGTGCCCCAGGGCACCCGCTTCAGCCCCGAGGACTTTGCGCGCTTCCGCCAGATGAACCACCAGCCCTCGTCGGCGCGGTCGAGCCCCATGCCCGCCCAGCAGAACATGAACCCGCAGTCGGCCCTCAACTACCCCTACTCGGGCGGCATGATGATGGGCGGACCCATGTACCAGCAGTCCCTGTACCAACAACCAATGCAGCACCAGCACCAGCAGCAGCCCATGCCACAGCAGGACGCCAAGGGCAAGGGCAAGCTCGTCGAGCTCGACGACAACAAGTGGGAGGAGCAGTTTGCCCAGATGGAGCTGCAGCACAAGGAAGACCAGGAGGCCAAGGCCGCCGAGCCGGAGCTCGAGGAGATGGACAGGGCCATGCAGTCCGAGACGAACGAGTTTGGCGACTTTGAGTCGATATGGAAGGGCATCCAGTCCGAGACGGCGGCGGCGCGCTCCATGGTCGACGGCGACACGACGTTCGACAAGTTTGACAGCGAGGACTGGGTGCCGCCGGACTTCCAGGGCCTCGGCAATGACTACTGGGGCGGCCGGCTCGGCGACCCCGTCGTCGAGCCCTATCTGTTCGAGGAGGACAACATCTTCATCGACGAGAAGAACGCGTTCGACGAGGGCGTGCGCATCATGCGCGAGGGCGGCAACCTGTCGCTGGCGGCCCTCGCCTTTGAGGCCGCGACGCAGCAGGACCCGAGCCACGTGCAGGCGTGGGTCTATCTCGGCCAGGCGCAGGCGCAGAACGAAAAGGAGACGGCGGCGCTGCGCGCCCTCGAGCAGGCCATCAAGCTCGACCCCGCCAACCCGTCGGCGCTCATGGCGCTCGCCGTGTCCTACACAAACGAGGGCTACGACTCGACGGCGTACCGCACGCTGGAGCGCTGGCTCTCGGTCCGGTACCCGCAGATCATCGACCCGGCGTCGCTGCACCCGCCGTCGGAGCTCGGCTTCACCGACCGGCAGGTGCTCCGCGAAAAGGTGACGGGACCTCTTCATCAAGGCGGCGCAGCTGTCGCCCGACGGCGAGCACATGGACCCCGACGTGCAGGTCGGGCTCGGCGTCCTCTTTTACGGCGCCGAGGACTACGACAAGGCCGTCGACTGCTTCACGTCGGCGCTCAACTCGTCGGCCCAGGGCGACTCGACGCAGCAGGAGAAGCTGCACCTGCTCTGGAACCGCCTCGGCGCGACGCTCGCCAACTCGGGCCAGTCGGAGGAGGCCATTGCCGCCTACGAGAAGGCGCTGAGCATCCACCCCAACTTTGTGCGCGCGCGCTACAACCTCGGCGTCAGCTGCATCAACATTGGCTGCCACGACGAGGCGGCCGCCCACTTCCTCGCCGCGCTGAGCATGCACAAGTCGATCGAGCGCGAGGGCCGCACCAAGGCCTACGAGATTCTCGGCGGCGGCGGCGCCGGCGGCGGCACCAACACGACCGAGCTCGACGAGAGGCTCGACCGCATGACGGCGCAGAACCGCAGCTCGACCCTGTACGACACGCTGCGGCGCGTGTTCACCCAGATGGGCCGCCGGGACCTCGCGGACAAGGTGGTCGCCGGCGTGGATCCGGATGTGTTCAAGGGCGAGTTTGATTTCTAGGCTGAATGATACCGATCTGGACCATGTTCCGGCACTGACGTGCATGGTGCATGTGTGAAATGTTGGCGCGCAGTTCCTGGCCTTTGGAGAATGCGCCTGTTTGAACCAGCCATGGTGACGAGCGAGGAGCCGAGAGAGAGTGCTGGAGGCACGCCACGTGCCCTTCCAACTGCCCGTGTCAAGCAACATGATGGGTCAGTCACTTGAAGTGAAGGAAACAGGAAACGCATGCCATGTCAATAATGTTCGATCATGTCCCACGTCAGGTCTATCAACCCTGGTGTATGTCCAAAAACCTGCCTCCGCAACAACTTGCTATGTACAATGTAGGTAGGTAGGCATATGCAAACCCTCCCGGATACCATGCTGCAAGGCCCGCCCCCCTCACTGGTTATGCCAGGCAAAGTTCCGCAACGAATCCCAATCATCGCTCTGCTTGTAGATGTACGTCATGCTGCTCCGCAGACTCGACTGCAGGTCCTCGGGGTGCCAGCGGAAGAGATACATGACCATGGCCCAGCTGCCGCTCGCGAAGACGGGCCAGGCATAGTGGCTGATGGCGGCGCTGGCGGCGGGCTCGCTGACGCGCGGCAGGCCGACGGCGGGCTTGACGGCGAGGCGCGCGAGGGCGAGGACGACGCGCGCGAAGACGTAGACGACAATCTGCTGGTTGACGCTGGGGATGCGGCCGGAGCGGGCGCCGCGGCCGCCGAAGACGAGGTAGCCGCCGAGGGCGCCGGCGAGGAGCGTGTCGTGGGGGCCCTCCTTGCCCGGCGTCGGGCCGTAGTGCTTCAGGAGGAGCATGGTGAGCTTGTAGATTGTGGCGAACTTGGCGAGGTTGCGGGCGTGGGTGCGCGTGGCGCGGAAGACGAGGCCGGCTTTCTCGCGGAGGGTGCCGGAGCGGAAGAGGAAGATCATGCTGTCGGGGGACCACTGGCGTTAGCATTCAACGTTGTCGAGGAGATGGGACGGCAGGGCGACATCATACACGAGGGCGTGGGGGAAGCGGACTTTGGTGCCGTAGACGGCACCGTTGCGGGCGCCCTTGAGGACGGCGAGAATGTCATGGTAGCGAGGGTCGAGGACGATTCGCTCGAGGGCGGCCTGGTCAGGAATTGTTCAGTCAGACGACCAGAGCCTGGGAGGTTTTCCTTCGAAACGGGAGGAGCATACCTTGAGGCCGTTGACAACTTCCATGATGCAAGCCTCGGTAAGGTGGGCTAGCAGGTACCTGTACCTCGTGGGCTGGGTCGCTAGGGGTACGAGAGCGGAGAACAATCACTGCAATGCCCGTGTCGAAGAGTAGATGCGATTGCGAGTGATGTTCTGTCCTGTTGATAGGAGAGGAGGAGATGGATGGAGCAGGCCATGGAACGGCGCGGCGCGCGGGAGCAGGTCCTCGTCAATCGTGCCTCGGATGTTTGGTCTGACGGCTTCGGCATCGGCCAGTGGCAGATGCGGGTGCGACTTTGGGGGGGAGACGTCCCAGTTACCCCGGCCTTTGTACCCCACCTCAGAAGCGGATGACGCAGGGGGGCTTGTCTTGTACCTACTAGGTACCTCTGAGCTCTGGTCTGGCTGGGCACTGGCGACCTGACATGTGATGGCTTTCTGAGGCCTCTGGCTTTCTTGCAGACCCTGAACTTCCTTCGGCCCTGCCATTGTAGGCACCAGAGCCCCTGAGCCCGCTATAACCTGGGGCTCGACCCACCAATGTCACTGGCTCCTGGTCCTGGTCAGGTAGGCGACTTGGGTACCTGGGTGCATACTTATAGGGGAGTGGCACTTGACACATGCTGAACTTTCACGTGGGTATTGCCAAGTCACTCTGCTAGCTATTTACGACGTCTCGCCCCGTCTCATGTGAAGGCGTCTCCATCTCCCCCTTCCCCAGCCCCAGCCCCAGCCTCAGCTCGAGCCACAGCGCCCAAGCCGAGAACCTCAATCGGAAAACCTCAACCGCTTCATCGCTTGAGTGCTCATCGCAAGAGTGCTCATCGCAAGAGTGCTCGATTGTTCCTCTCCTTTTCTATTGTTCAGCATGACGGGCCCCGTAGTTGTACTCGAGACCTCCAAAACTCCAAAACGCCAGCAATGCCCCCACGTAGCCGTTTGCTTCCAACTGTTCAATTCTGCTTGTGTCCAATGCCTGCTTCGCACCATCCCCGAGACGCTACAGCTCAGGTGAGGAGCACAGCGTTGACGCAGCCGTCGTTCTCGGGCGTGTTCATGACCTGGGCGTAGCTACACGTTCATGTCAGTACAGTCTCGTGCAGGCGACAGCAGAAAATCACGTACCGGCCCCAAACGACCTTGCCGCCGGCCGTCGTCATGCCGAGCTCGCTGACATTGATCTCGATAATCGTACCCTTGGTCAGCACACCGAGGTTGGTGTACATCGGGCTGTTGGGGTTTTTCTGCGCGTCCCATGTCAGCATTTGCCTCAACGATGCGCCCCAGACCACCTTGACGTGGTTGCCACTACATTGCATACCTTGACGGAGATGATGGGCAGGAGAGCCGTAACGCCAAGCTCGCGGTGCGTGACGTGGGCCTTCTTGTAACGGAGACCCATCGGGCGGATGAACCGCTCGTGCTTGGGGTCGCGACGAGTGAAGTTCTCGCCAACAAACGTAGGCTTGGTGATCATGCGCTTCCACGACTTCTGGTGCGTCTTCTTGCCGGTGGAGACAACCTTGAACATCTCCTCCTCTGTCATCTGTGTCAGCGGCGTTTCCCCGACAATGCCAAACAGCCGAGATAAGCTTACCAGCAATACCGCGGACCTTGGGTAACGGCACGGCAAACTATTCCCTCCCGTTAGTCCTACATCTCACCCCGATACCGTCCGCCAAAAGCCAAAACGTACCCTCGCGCTCTTCTCGGCACGCTTGTTCTTGATCTGCGAAGAGATAGCCTTGGCCATGTTGGGGCTGCATCAACCGTCAGCAACGTCGCTCCTCTTCCGTCCTGCAGCCCTCTGGGGGAACCCCTCTGGAAGAACCTGAAGGCGAAGGAACGAGAGAAGGGGAGAAAACCCACTTCTTGCGGTCGAGCAGGTACGCGGGCATGGGCTCGCTGGGCTCCTCGTCGTTGGTCGTCTTGACATCGCGCTCCTCGTGGGCCTTGATCTTTTTGCGCATCTGGATCTTCTCCTTGCGCCTGTCCTCGGCCCTCAGCTTGGCCTTGAGGCCGCGCAGGTTCTGCGCATCCTTGCTCTGCTTGTGGCCCTCACGCGCGAGCTTCTTGCGGGTCCTCTCCTCATGGTCGAGCCTGCGTCCATGCAGCTTCCTCCACCTCTGTAAGTCGAAGAAAAAAGCACGTTAGTCGTCTGGTCCGTGATTGTCTTTCATAAATCGGCCGGCGGTCGATCCGAGGGGGGCTCGATCCGCGGGTGAAGAAAACTTGCCTCCATGTCTGCAGGGGTGCATGGTCAGCAGGGTTCTTGGCGGGGGGAAACGAAATCTTGGGCTGCTGGTACTCACACTCGTTCTGAGGCATCTTGACGGATTGGCGCTGACGAGCGGCTTCAGATGCTTCGAGTTGATCGGTTTCCCTCGAGTTGGGATGAAGATGCGATGCCTTGAGAAAGTGGCGGGTCGCGATACCGACCGATAGAGGGGCCCACCTCAAAAATTCACCGCCAAGATTTCGCGGGCGGGCCGGTGAAATTCCGACGACCCACACAGCGCCTCGAATCGCCAAGTGTATTACCTAATCGGTATTCCTGTTTGCCGTCTCCATCGTCCAACGCGACGTTCCTTTTGGCAACAGAATCCATAGCATACACGATGTCTTAAATCTTAACATCAGCAGCGCAAACATGAGTGGTTTCGAAACCTGGAAACATAACATGGAAATTCGAGCCTAAATTTGAGAATGTTTATCGTTTTCTGTTCTTCGGCGCAAAATAACTCTCCGCGGTCGGTCGGCATGTATCCCTATGTTTCTGCAGGTCAAGATGCTGCCTTTCGATGATGACCAGTGACGTGGATCTTCAATGATCACGCGGGAGATTAGGAGCGAAAGTGAAACGACTGGCAACTTTGAGGTTCTAACACTTCAACAAACATGATGTTTCGGCCGTCGGGAACACCTGTGTGACCTTTGGCGGCGAGCAGAATGGAGTACATGTGGAACAACGTGATGACCATGTGTCGGAGGTCATTTTTCAAGGACTCTGAACAAGGAGGCTTGTCAGGCTTATGTAGGATACGAAGACAGCGGAAGGTCAGGTTAGAGACATTTTACTATCCGAGCATCCACGGCTTGGTATCCTTGACGATTGTATCTTTGTTTGATGCATCATTTTTATTGTCTGAAAACTGAGTTGCTACCTGTCTAAAATGGGATGGCGAGGTGGCTTAAGAAAGCGAACGAGTGACAAGAATTGTGTGAGTCAGCTTGAGGACTTGAAAGTCTCTTTGATTTCTCAAAGTCCTAGGACTCTAAGTTTGCGAAGCCTTGAATGACCCTCTTCCAAAGATCATGACTCTAGTTCAGCCACAGACGGAAGCAGTTGATGGGGCCGACGTGACCGCAGCCAGCTAAAAGAAGAAAAGGTCAGAAACGTGGAATTGCAGACTATATGGGATAGACTTACTGCCAGAGTTGCGGGCAATGGTGGCGACGTAGGTTCCGCACCAGTCATTACCGTTCAGGCGGCTGACGTCGAGCTGCTCGCCGTTGCGCAGGCCACGGTAGCGGATACCGAAGCTGTAGTGGTTGATCGTGCCGTAGTGGTGGACGTTGTACTGGACGTTGTCGAAGTAGGAGGCCTGGCCCTGGCCTATGATCCTGCATGTTAGCAAGTTGTTCACATGCGTTTCTGGGAAGAGTTGAACTTGCAGTTGTCCTGGGCCCACATGCCGATGCCAATGTTGGCCCAACCCTGGCGCTTCTGCAGCTGCTCCTCGGTCACCTCATCCCAGTTGATGTCGATCTGGGCACGGATCCAGGCCCAGGCCTTGGTGCCCGGCTCGGCGACGATGCGGTCGTTGAGGACGACACCATCATCGGGAATGGGCTCGAAGATGTCGACGCCGAGCGCGGTAGCGTTGACAAAGGATTCGACGTTGCCAGCATCGTCCTTGTAGACGGTGAAGTCAACATCCTCATCGCGGGCCGCCAGAATGGGAGCCTTGGGGGCTGCGAGAGCAATGCTGGCCATGAGGCCGAGGGTAGAAAGAACAGTGGTGAAGTGCATCTTGACGTGTTGCTTGAGAAGCGGGCGAGCTTTGAAGTTGATGGAAGAGTGTCTTGAGGAATTGTTGCTGAGGCTGTTGATGAATTGAAGAGAACTTCAGGTTGGATGTCGCCCCTTTTATAGACAGATTTCCCGCATCCGAGAGTTTCCCCTTGCCCTGAGATGCCGCACTTTCAATCTCCTGATGCATCAGGCTCGCCTCCGTGAAGTGCCCATCTCGCCTCTGTCTTTGCCTTGTCAACATGCCTAGGTACCTCAGGTAAGGTAGATAGTGAGGCAGCTGACGATGCATAAGCAACACATCCTGCTTTCTCTCCACTTTGACAAGCTTTGCCAATACTGTAACCCTGAACTACTTGTTACGGAACTGATCAGCATCCGTCAGCCGGAGTTCTTCTCTGATCTTTGGGCAACTGCTCTCAGCAACTCGTCGTAGGATTACATGCCAAGATATCACGATGCAACACGGAGGTCTGGCTCCTCAGAGACAGGCAATTCTGACTTGCATCGTAAGTTGCCTCCCTGACGTGAATGGAGCGGATGAAGCTAGGTGGTCCACCGGGCGGGTGCCATCCCACATCGAACCGTTCTCGGACCTGGTGCGGCGGCTATAGACCGGTGGCAACTCCGGAGGATGGAGCTCTCTACAGGCCTGGTGTTCTGCCTAGGGTTCTTGGGGGGAAGGTGGTAAAGAAGGATCGCTGCACTGTACAGGGAGGTTGCATGCGTCTCATGTCGCTGGAAGAATCGAGACGCGTCTAGAGGACCCTTTGATAGAGAGATGACAGCAAAGAAAGGCGCACAACGTCATGCTGGGTCAGAATATTGAATATTCCAGCGCAGTTGTTCAACATACCTAGTCGTAGCAAGGAGCCAGGACGCCAGTGTACTTGAAATGGTGTTGTCAGTGAGTTGTGTCATCGAAGCTTAGACGCAAGGTAGGTACTTACCCGAGGTGCCTGCGACACTTGAGGTTCCTCAGACTTCTCATCAAGTCTATGTACCTGCAGTCCTGCACTCATTTCGTATGCGCTGGTGCTGACAGTTCTACGACCAAATTCGTCGTGGTGCATCCATGACCTCAGCCTGAGCCTGAGGGCCTCAGTAAGGGCAATGTGCCTCAAAAGATCCTTGCACAATAGGAAGACCCAAATGATTGCTAAAGAGCCTTATGAGCACAGAGACCGGTGAGGAGGCCTTCGGCCAAGCTCCAGCAAGTCGATCTGATTGCCTCAGGGGCTTTGCCTCCGTCCGGTGGATCTCAGCTGGCCAGATGCGCGAGCTCATAGGCAACCCCCACGTAAGACGGTATTTACCCTGCATGGCGTAGATGCACAGCGGGAGGACCTGATCTAACGGTTGAAGCACGATCATTGATGGATCAACTACCGTTGGCCGAACCCCTCATCAAGGTTGCATCAGGCTGGGCAAGTCATCCGCTTCCTTCGACCGAGCTGGCCACAACTCAGCGAGCGGCCGATCAGGGTAACAACACAATTGTAATTGTTATTCGCTACTGGTCAAAACCCGCAGATTGTTTGACGACACGAGCTGCCTGATAGAGTTCCATCAGCTGTCGCCCGTTCGCCCACACACACCACTGGTTCGTCCGAACGTCCTAGAACGGGTACGTATTCACTCCAGCACGGCTTACTCACGGGAAGCTGCATTTTCGTTGCGGAGTTGCGCAACTGCGCCGCACAAACTGCCAAGCAAAATAGCGCCCCGGATGTGTAGGAATGCTACCCACGAGCGAAAGTTCCTCGACCAGCCCTAGGGTCCAGAGCTCTGCTGCATGCCAAGCTAGAGGGGTCTTCGCCGCGGGCTTTCTGGCCGCCAGACTTTGAGAACGAGCTCTTCCTGTCGCGACTGCACAGGGCCGAGGTTGACATGGCTATCGATGCTGGTCTGGTCGAGTATTACTGTGGAGCAAGTTCGTGATGTCCTCCAAAGCCCACTCTTTACCTGACACCTTCAAGTCACTGTCCTTGGCGCTGGACATGTGGACCGGCATCCCCGAGAACAGACATGCGATGGACTCGCAGCCGTGATGATGATTGTGACAGAGTTGATATGAGTCTACTCCGACCAGCATTTGTCGGGGTGTGGTCCAATATCTGCTGCCGCCTCTGTTGTCAGCGCTACCCTTGAGGCCCCGCAGTCATGGACCAGCCGGAAATGGAACTTGTGTGTGAAGACCCGGAATACATGTATGGTCTGCTAATCAAACAGGGTAAACCTCGCAGGTTTGTCGGTCAATAGTCAAAATGTAGTACTTTCCCGACAAAGATCCATTGCATAGTCCGCTGCGACTCAAATCAAATCTCCTAGATAGATGTTTAGTGATGACTCTTCAACGTGTTCCTTGGCCCCTCAAGTGCTTAGCGACCCAAAGCCAGCCCACATATGTCAGCTCGCGTCATTGTCCTTGAGAGTCAGGTTGGTCGCTTATAGTGCCTCATTGGCGGCAGCATTTGCGGCTCTCACGGTGACAGTGCTCTGCTTGATGTCGGTGGCGTTCTGCTGCACGAACTCGTCCCTGTTGTTGTGTCCATCTCGAAGGATACTCATGACTCAAATAGCATTCCCATTGGCGCTCTGGTCTCGTTACGGACGTTGATGATCCCCTCGCGGCTCAGAGGCCATTCTGCAGTTTATGGTCACAGAACGACCTTAGCTTATTAGCCCTGTCCATTGAGAGGACTTCCCTTTTCGTCGCGAAGCCTTCATCGTTGATCCTCCTTTGAATAAAAAAGAAAGAGGGATGGAATTGGGTAGCTGCTCGGAAAATCTTCGGCACAGTGGTGAGTAACTACCTACGTTTGTGGGGGGAAATTGGAGGCAGCTGGGCGGGCAACCGCAGCCCAGCCCACCATGGCTTTGACGTATCATGGCGTCTGGGTGAAGCCAGGAACTGGGGCGGATCACCAAGCACGGTTGAAATTTGCTCCCTCACAACCCCCGCAGCCAGTTCATCAACCTCTATTGCATGAGCAACAGCAACATGGTCCCACCACAAGCGACAGAGAGCTCGGCTCCTACAAGCCATGGTTCTGTCGACTACGACCAAACTTTGAAGTATTGGGGCGGTGTTAGCGCTGACGATTGTGGCATGCTTGGTGGAGTTCCAAAGTGGAAGGGCTTTGCCAATATTAATAAGGTTGATCTACATGGATCCCGGAGCTTTTTGGCCAAGTTGGGAATTGGAGAAAACAATGGCCGTCAGATCGTGGAAAATGCGCTTGAAGGAGGCGCAGGGTGAGTTGCAGCAGATCTTAGCAGAGGGTTCGATATTTCGGGAATTCGCTGAACCACCTCACAGGATCGGTAGGGTTACCGAGGGTCTACTTCTCCACGTTGCCAAGGAGGTTGACATCATCGAACCAATTCCTAAATTTACCCTCGCGTTGCACGGAAAACCAGGCATTCGTTCGATTCAGAATATCAGTATGAGCGCGTGGCGGCCAGATCCACTTGTTTCCTATGGCCTTGTCTGGATTCAATGGTGTCTTGGATACCTTACAGATGAAGAACTCTTGGAGCATCTCGGACATTGCAAATCAGCACTCAAAAGTCCTGACGGATTGATTGTCATCAAAGAAAACATCAGTACAAGCGGACAGGACATATATGATGATGAGGACGGTGGTGTCACGAGGTAAGTTCACATGTCAGACTCAATAACCTTAGCTAACGAAGAAAAGGGGCGATGGTAAATTCCGAAAACTATTTAAGGAGGCGGGATTGCGTATCGTCAAGGTTGAGATTCAAAAAGGAATGAATCCACCCAATGCGGAGAAGCTGTTTCCAGTCAAAATGTATGCTTTGAAGCCAGAAGCTTTGGAGCTAGAAAAATAACAGTGATGCCAATAACAAATTGAACTTCAAATCGAGCTTATTTTACCCACTTTCAGAACTCAGAGTCCTTTCAGCAAACCTGCAACAGAACAGTTTTGTTTTCAGCCACTGCGTCATATGCATTCAACCTTGGTGAGCCAGGGCTGATGTGAGTTGGGCTGTACTTCATCACAGCAGTAATTATTCAAGGCTACAGTAAACAGGTGATTCCGGCACTTATTGCCACCTCGTCACTTCCATTTTCATTCTCTTCCTGTTCTCATGGCCACGATGCCTTCTTTTGCCTTCCTGGAGTCGACTGGATCTTTAATCTGGCGTCCGTTCATCTTTTGAGCAACAGCGGAACAATCATCTCGAAGCCTGTGGGCGTGACTACATGAAAAGCTGTGTATCCGGCTTCAGCCTTTGCCTCAATGTAGGCCCCTCTCTCCAGCAAGAGACGGACAACCCTGGCCCGTCCAGGACGTGATGGTCGAAGCAGTCCTTCCACCGATATATTTCGCATCGATATGTGCTTCACTACCTCATTCAAAATATTTAAACCTTATCAGCCGATTCCACAAAGCCAGTCCAAAAAGGAAAGCTCCTCCCTCGTTCTGGCTAGCTTCCCACTCCAGAACTGGGCAGTATCAATGGGAGAGCTCACGAGTAAAGCCACCACATCCTTGTGCTGTTGGAGATATGCAACATGAAGAGTGTCCAGCCATCCTTATCGCTCAGAATTGGGACCGCTCCCTGTCGAACAGCATCTTGAAAATCAACACATGCCGATGCGGTATGCAAGGCTGTAAACCCTTGGATATTTTGGGATCGATAGACACATTGCTCCTGAAAAAGCAGCTAAAAAACAAGCAGCAGAATGTCTTTTGCACACCAAAACAGTGGTTACGGCCGCTGTCTTTCCGTGCATCGATGTTTGCATAGGTACTCTTCAGATAGTATCTTATGTGGCGTCAGCCTCATGAGGAAGAGTCGACCGGAGTGGCGTATTCAGATACTTATTTATGCTCATGGCGTACCCTGCCAAATGACCAGTCAATGGCAAAGCTTCATTGTGCATCTCGGTAAACGTCAGTTTTATGTCAACCGTCTAACTTTCCCGGTCTCGTTGATGCGCTATATCATGATCCAATATGCCAGGAATCTCGAGTGCTAGGCTGTGGGATATCGACATTGAAGTCGCCTCCGTGCGGTATAAATGTGACAATCGTAACAAACGTTGCGTCTCGTCACCGGAAGCACAAAGAATGCTTCAACGGTTGACGACAGGGTACCTGACGCCAACGTCTCGGAAGCAATCAAGTCGGCGGCACTGCGTACGGGAGGGGTTTGCATGGGATATGAAGTCTCAAAACCATGTCATGGAGCTACATCTATCTCGTACCATGTCATTTCAAAATTCATAAGTAACCTGCTCTCGTTTGCTAGCGATGTTCGTAAACGGCCCAGAGGCTACCTCATCCTGGGGCGACCTCCACGTCTTTCGTAGGTCCACTCATCACTCTGCTGAATCTTGAAGACATCATTTATGGGGGAGAAAGGGCGAGGGAAAGGTGTGATCATGTGGGCGTTCATGACGGAGTGGGCTGGAGCAGCAAGGCCAGCAAACTCGAGGTCCTAAATAAGAGCGGAAGGTTGTTGAGGATGCAGTGCCGCAGTTTGTTATCCTCTCAGACCAATGAATCATATAGACCAGCTGCTGAGTAGGTAAGGCACATCAAGGGTTTGGCTATAAGGTCGTCGGCACTGGCACATGGTCCATGTGTGAAGGAGTAGCCGAATATGCAGAACGGAGGCTGTGAGAAACACCTTTTTGAGATCTGATGACAATGACAAATTGGCCAAGTTGAACATGAAGTAATAAACCGGCAAACGGCAAGGAAGCTGTGCATTAAACCCAGTTCAAAGACTCTCACCTTAATTGATCATGCAAAAGATTAAAAAGCATGCTGGTTTTATCTCAAGCACCTGGAGTCCAACCCCCTCATCTGTTCATCTTCACAAAGCAAAGCGTCGAGCTGTATGAGGCATCACGTGATGCTATGTGCAACGGAGTGGGTACCTTACTTGGGCTACGAATTAAAGTGGAGATATGCTGTTGGACCTCCAGCATCGAAAGTTTTCTAGGACCTCATGACAGTCGCGTGAACACTCGGCATCTCGAAGCAATTGGACGCGCAACCCGTCCATTTCGCCCAGACGCACCACCCACAGTCATGAGCAGGGCACTTCTGCGCTCCGCCTTGGAGCTCCGGGCACCCCTCACCCGCCTCCCGCCAACCTTCCTCCTCCCGATCCGCGCCCGCGCCTTCAACACCACAACGCCCATCATCGAGCCGACACAAGATGCCATCCCCTCCCAGGCCGCCACGACAATAGCCCAGCAGGCCGCCAAGGCCGACCCCCTCGCCCTCTACCCCAAGCAGGCTCCCGCCACCCAGCCCGCCCCCATCACCGACTCGGTCCGCCAGCTCCTCCCGCTTCTCGCCGCCCAGCCCTCGCACTACATCACCTTCCACATCCACGGCCGCCCCTACCTCGTGCAGCCCGGCGACGCCATCCGCCTCCCCTTCCGCATGCCGGGCGTCGTCCCCGGCGACGTCCTCCGCCTCGACTGCGCCTCCGTCATCGGCAGCCGCGACTTCACCCTCAAGGGCAGCCCTTACATTGACGAGCGGCTCTTCGAGTGCCGCGCTGTCGTCACAGGGTCGGAGCTCGAGCCCGTCCGCATCAAGATCAAGAAGAAGCAGCGCACGAGGCGTGCTCAGCGCGTCAGGAGCCAGCACCGCTTCACGACGCTCGCCGTTAGCGAGCTGAGGATCAAGGGGCTCGAGGAGATTGAGGGCTGAGCCGAGAGCCGTGGGCCTGAAAACCTCTGCAGGATGAAGCCGTTCAGCGTATTTAAGGACCCAGTGCTGTGTTTCGTCTACATAAAGAACCGAGGGGCCGAGGTGGAGAGAGAGGCTTTGTAAGATACTCATCATGCATGAGAAAGGAGGTGTATCGTGTACTACTCTGCAGCCTGGGCTGGATGTATCATAGCAAAAACAATGCAAGATTTTCAACAAACGACACATGGATTTCCACCGTCAATGATGTATCGCTTGAAAGATGTTGGGTATTCAAATCAAGCCAAGCAAAGCTAGGCGACAACGCCAGTTCTGAATTGACAATCTGCAATAACTCGAGGCAGTATGGCCTCTGGGAATTCGGCTGTTTGTAACAGGAAAAACAACTCCAGACCCTGCCCACGCCCGACGAAACCGGTCGAGCTGGGATTCAAGTCCCCAACAAACACCAATAGCTATGAACATCCATCAGGCTTCGTGAAAGAATAAATAAAAGAGAAGAGTGCAACGCCTGAATCTGCCAACCATTCCTGATTTCTGCTGACACGTATCCAACATTAAACCACCGTGTGCGCCAATTCGTGTCATGACTTGCTGCTGTTGTCGGTCGCCTTCTTGACACTTTGCCAATAGGCCCCTGGCCAGACGGACCTGGCTTCCGCCTCGGTGGGCATGCGCTCGCGGCACCTCGTGACGACGCTCTGAATGATCCTACCAAGCAGTTCCTCGTCGATCGGGAGTGCCTTGTCGTGAAGCTCGACCGGATACAAGAATGGATCCGTCTCATGCAGAAGTTCTTCGCAAGTTGGACGGAGATGAACTTCGCGGTTGAGGCACCGCTTCATTGTACGGAGGAGCGACGGGGGGACAAGAACACCACCCACGGCGCGGCTGGGGAACTCGATGGCGTGGTCCCAATCAATGATGGCCTGGCAGCGCGATAGGTGGTTCGCGATATGACCGAATGGGGGTATACCGTAGACTAGCTGGTAAAGGATGCAACCCAGTGACCAAACATCGCTGGGCTTTCCGAGTTTCATTAATTTGGGTCGGCCGGCAGCCCGTCCGCCATGGGAAGCGTTGAAGTCCATCAAAGACTCTGGCGACATGTAGTTTGGCGTTCCGATCTGGGTTTCGCGGTGGACGTTGACCGTCTCATCAGTTTGAATGGCGTTGGCGATACCAAAGTCGATAAGTTTCAGGCAGCCCTTGACGAGGACGAAGTTTGCCGGCTTAAGATCTGAATGCACGACATCGTAATTGTGAACCGCTAGGAGACACTCGAGCATCTCTTTCCAGTAATATCGGACAAAGACTGGATCGAACCTGGCGGTCTCGGGATTCTGTCGACTTCTCAGAAGAGAATTGAGATCTAGCTCGCCGTATTCCATGAGCTGCAAAAGTCAGTGCTGCATCGGGTATACAGGACAGAGAGCTCGCTTACCAAGGTCAACGACCTTTTCTCGTCGTTCATCTCATAGTCGAAGAGGCTGATGACTCGATCAACAGGCTTGAGCTTGTTGAGAAGATCAATCTCGCCCTTAAAGCCTCGTATGGCCATCTCGTCCGCCTGCTCCAAAGAAACACGCTTCAGAGCGAAAATAGCACCGTTCTCCGCAGTGACGCGATAGACTTTGGCGCTGCCACCTCGTCCCACACAGTCCAGCCGCGTGTACGACTTGCCGTTGACACGGAGGATGTTACGCCTCTGCTTGCCATGTGATGTAGTTGCCGCACCGGCGGACGTGGTGGCAGCCTGGAGAACGGTCATCTTGGGTGGAGGAGGCGGAGGTGCTGGACGATGAGGTGTGTTTCCGCCCAGCGCAGCAAGGGGCTTCCTTTCTGGTGAGGCAGCAGGACGGCCACTACCAACGTCAGCGCTCGCAGGTCGCTTAGGAATGTCTAGTTCCTTCTCCAGGGCGACGTGGACAGCAGGCTTGGACCGCTTGAAAGTTGGCGGCGCCTCGTTCTCCTGGTCATGGCCCGAAGGAATCTCAGGGCGGGGCGCCGGGTGCCTCGCAGGGAGTCCTTCAACCTCGTGGCTGTTTCTCTCGCGGGGCGTTGGCCTAGCAGCAGATTCCAAAAGATCCGCCTGCGACGCATGCCTGCGATGCGAAGCCCTTGCTGAGTTGCTCAGTGGAGCAGGGCTGCCAGATTCACGGCCGTTGCCGTAAAACGAAGCTGCCGGTTCTTGATCCATTTCTGCTTGCTCTTGCTCTTGGTCAAGGTCGTGGCCGGCAATCACACCTTCGCCTTCACCATTGGCCTCAGCCTCCTCCTCGCTCTGTCTCCTCCGTCCGCGTCGGGCAGGGCCGCTGAGAAAGCTGCCTGGAACCTTGCCGACACGCTTGACCCTCATCGAGCTTTGCAGAGCAAGGTTGTCCTCAGGCCTGGAAGCTCTCGAGCCATTTGAGGCCTGTCGCGATTCGCTGCCCTGGTTTGAGGAGCCACCGTTCCGACTAAGGGTAGCCGGTTCTTCTGGGTAGTCTGCATCCATATGTGATCCTGATCGTCGTAAATGAGCCGAAGCGCTGTTGACTCTGCCCCTGTTGCCGGAAGATCCAGCAGCAATTCGGACAACGCGAATGCCCTGAGCGGGAGTGTTCACGTCCTGCTGGGGCTCCGCTGGCTTCTCGTCGGATGATTGATCGCGGCTTTCGGGCCGGCTGGACGTTCGGCTGCGCTGTGTGGAGCGGGAGAGGGAGGTTGAGCGTCGCTTGGGTTGGGACAATTGGCCGAGGCTTTTCGGGGTGTTGCTGAGTCTGACGACCCGTTTACGAACAGGACTGTTTTCTCTGCTTTCTTTGCTTCTGTGTGGTGAAGTCGGCAGTGACGACTTTGGTTCATACGCATGAACACTGCCCGATCGTAAATGCCGGCGTTCCTCTGTGGCAGAAGAGAAGGATGCCGCGAGGTTGCTGACGCGGCGTCGTGTTCGTGGTGGAGAGGCTGCTTGCTGTTCAGGAGGGCCGCCGAGAAGTGCTTTGGTGAGAGCACTCAGTTTCATGGGCACTGGAATCTCGTCGTCGGAGCTGTCGTTGAGCGTGTAGTTTTGGGCCTCCTTCTTCGACGCGATTTTCCCAGCTGAGGCCACGGGGTTGGATTCGGTACGACCAAGGACAGGTCGTGATGGAGGGCGTCGAAGAGCTTGACGTTGTGATGTTCTCCGAACGAGCCCAGAGCCTTGGGACATGCCCATCGGTGTAGGAGAGGCGGTCGCCATGTCGGGTTTTGTTGTCGTGAGTTTCGATATTGCTGAAATGGGCGTAACGCGTTCCTCCTCTTCACCAAACGTCCCAATGCCAGGAGGGTAGAAGACTGAATCGACCAAAACTGCACTATCGTTCACGCGTTATTCGTACCCATGGTTCTGAAGATTGTAATGGGGAGAAATTACTCTATGTGGCGCGTCATGGAAACTTGTATCGCGGGTAGACATGCCTGCTTGTTCCCTGTCCATGCCGATTATTTGGGTGGAATCATATCAACCAATCACTCAGCTGCTGTGTTGCTGGGACAACAGAAAGCATGTGGAGACATATTGCCAGAGGTCGCCATATCATTGGCGGGAGATCAATGTGCCTCCCTTACATAATCACAAGTGGTTTTCGTCTTCAAGGGCCTGAGGCACGCTATGGACCAATACTAAGATCAGCCAGAGAATGGGTCTGAACGATTGATGAGAGTGTCCATCACAGAATGCCCATCATTGCATTGCCTTACATCCACATCTTTCAGTTGTGCGAGCAGACCTGGACGTAGATCCGAGCACCTCAAGTCATGTCACGGCAGCAAGAAACGAGGCCGTAGCCAATGCTCAGAACAGTCGCCAGGCTTTTGATTGTTCATAACTAGACGAACCCTCTACGTGCCGCGAGACACGTCGAAACAGAGTCGAGACCAGATACCCCCATGCCGAAGACCTGTGAACACCTGATCCATCCCATGCGTAGCTTTGTTGAGAAAATTCGGAGGCCCGTCCAATCGTGGAAGTCGTGGGAAGGGTATTTAGTCGAAGAGACCGAAGCCCATGTCGTCGTCGGACTCCTCCTTCTCTGTTGATAGTTAGCAACTGACTCGGCTTCGCAGCAGGTTGTGTGCGGATAAAAAACGTACCCTCCTCCTTGGCCTCCTCCGCGGGAGCGTCACCGCCGGCGGCAGCAGCGCCACCAGCAGCGGGGGCAGCACCGCCAGCACCGCCCGAGGGGACGGAGGCGAGCTTGTTGGAGCCCTCAGCGATGAGCTGTGATGCATGTCAGTAAAGTCGTGCGACACAAAGAATCCCCAAGTTATGAGACGGCATACCTCGTTGATGTCCTTGCCCTCGAGCTCGGAGAGAAGCTTGTCAAGACGCTCCTGCTCGACCTCAGCACCGACAGACTCAAGGACGGCCTTGATGTCAGCGGCGGAGGGAGAGGTGTTGCCACCGAGGGTGAGGAGGAGGTAAGCTGCGAGGTGCTTCATCTTGAATTTGTGGCTATGCGACGAGAAGACGAATTAGCTTGATCGTTTGCGAAAGATGTCGAGGAAGCGACAGAGCTGGTTGCAGTGGCAGGGCAAGTACTAACAGATGGACGTGGTAAAGAACACGAGAGGTCAATCAATTTAACCGCAAGTTGGGCGGAGACTGAATCTTCGAGTCCGAGGGGTTGATGGGTGGTTTTTTTTCGGTATATCCGGACAGGAAGTTGCAGCGAAAAGTTCCAGGCAGAGCGAGTTTTGTCGCAAGCTGACTCTGTGGGCACACCAAAATAGCCGACCCTTAGGGCGAAAGCTGCGCCATTGGTGGTGGGGTGTCACATGTGGCTGGAAACACTCCGAGTACCAGCCACGCGGTTTGTTTGTCATTCTCAGCACATGGCCCCACTGCAACGCTTGGGGCCCCGACTTATACAAATCCTTGATAATAGTTAGGTAATTGGCACCCCGATTGCTGGCCCCGACTGTATCCAGACGGCCAGGCGCAGAGGGACACCCAGAGGGGGGCCGGCCGAACGAGCCTTCCCAAGGTGGTCTGTGCATTTGGCTGATTTCGCCCTCTGCGCTACTGGGCACATATAAACTTGCCCACCTCGCCGCCCGCCTTCAGTCTTTGAAGACTGCTAACGTTCCTCCCGCCCGTCCAACGCCTTTTACGACCTCGCCAATCCTCTACACATTGAAAACAGCGCCTTCCAAATCTAATTTGATCACTGATCATCCCGAAACATTTACGAAATATCCGCTGCGGCTAGAGACACTAATCGCGAGCCGCAGTCTACGACTTCCATTCTCCTAGCCAGATGACTCAAACGAGGACATCATAGTTGCTGGCTTTGACTGCGCGCAACCCATCACAGTTGCTTGACGGGACTTCGTCACACAGTCAGCCGCCATGCCGGTGAGTGACCTCTGCGGGGGCGGAGATGAAGATGGAGATGGGTGGCGCTGTTCATGTGACTAACGAATGTGGCCAGATCGGAGATTTGCTCGCCTCCATCAGTGGCGACTCGTCACGCCCATCCTCGACGCCGCCGTTGCCGCGAGTGAATAGCAACCTCAAGCGGAAAGCCGATGAGGAGTTGCGGCCTACGGTTTCAAAGACTCCGCGGACCACGCCAGTAGCCTCGGGCGGTTCAGCGACATCCACTCGACCTCTCACGGACAAGGCACCCCCAACCCCGTACAAGGGCACCGCTGGCAATCGACCGACCGCGGTATCAAAACCCACTCATAGTTCCGCTGTCAAAGCCGGCTCCGCCCCGGCCAGATCATCGAATGGAGCAAGCGCAGCGAAACTACCTGCCAGCCGGCCAACGCCGGCCGCCGCGGCGCCAGCGGTAAAAGCTGCCCCGCCAAAGAAAGGTTCATTCGCGGAGATCATGGCCCGGGCCCAGAAAGCTCAATCCACCATGGGACAAGTCGGGAAAATCCAGCACAAGGTCACGGAAAGGGGTGTTGGCAGGAAGGAAAGGGAAGAGCCGGCCAAGGATGCCAAACAACCCCTCGCCAGGACATCATCCAAGTTCAAAGGCTCTGCCAGGCCCGCCAATGGTCCTTCGCGGCCCACCAACGGCTCGGCTCGCCCAACAAACGGCACATCACGACCAGGAGGCCTACCACTACAGCGGAATACCGCTACCAAGGACCCGCGTAATGGCGCTTCTGGCCGAGGAAAGGACAAGCGAGCCCCTCCTGTTGAAGAGAAGAAGATCAAGAAGGCCGCTATTGCCACGACCGGCTACACTGGCACAGCCCGGCCCCGTCCTGGCACCACTTCCAAAGCGAAACCTGCAGCTCCTGGCGGCGCTCTCCTCAACCCCCGCACAGCTCCTCGCTACGGCGGCTCCTCCAAGCGCTCCCGCTACGATGAAGACGAGGATGAGGAGATGGACGACTTCATCGACTATGATGACGAGGAGGAGGACGACATGGGCGGTCCTCGCTATCGTTATGATTCGGGCTCTGAATCCGACATGGAAGCCGGCATGGACGACATTTACGACGAAGAGGCCGCGGCCGAGCGTGCCGCGCGGCGGGAGGACATTGAACAGGAGCGCCTCGAGAAGCGCCTCAAGGCCGAAAAGGAGGAACGAAAGCGCAAATTCCTCGAACAGCAGCGGAACCGCCGCTAGAACAGCACCTCCCCCTGCATGCGGTTCAGCATCGTTACGCCCTCTTGATTATCATACCCACCCCATCTCATCCATCAGCGACGGCGTTGTCCTTGCTTTTTTCCGGCACCAAGAGTTCACACTTTCCATTTCTATTTATTTGCTTTTGCGCATCAACGCGTATCCCGCAGCTGGGAATAGGGGGCGATAAGGGGTAGGGGCAGGTTTTCTTGGGAAGTACATCAAACGTGGTCAAACGTGGGGCGTTTGCTGCATTGTCTCGGTAGATAGGTATTCATAGGTTTCTTGCTTTGCAGGATGGGCTGCATTGGATAAACTGTTATGTATTTTGGTTTGCACACATGAATTCCTGTGACTCGTGATTCATAATCTTGTCGCAATCTGGGCCATAGGTTCAGATTTTGCCGCTACCTGTAAGTGGGCTTGTCATTGTCAGAGTCAAATATGTTCATGTTCCAGCCTGCTCAGTTATCTCGACATAAATCAACTCTCCTATCAGTAGTATCCACCGCGGCTGACATGCCTGGAAACAACAACACGATTGTACGTATAACGCCCGCAAATGAAGCATCGTATCAACCAAATGTAGATAATGACGGCTGCCCAAACCAAGCCAGCGAGGTTCATCTCGGCGTCTGATCCACCAGCACTCGAGGTCCCCGGCCTGCCACGTGCCTGTGGTCTGTCTCTGTGTTTCCCGACCCCTGGCAGCTTTGCCACGATGAACGCACATGGCGATCTACTGGAACAATTCAAGGCCGTTAACGTCAAAACGAGATCAACGACCGCAAACTTTGCGTTTCTATATATGGTTCATACCCCGATCCAATCCTGTGAGGTTCTATAACCCGCAAAAATACATTCCTGGTTGCAAGGACAGGCTTCTGATCACGCACAAACCGGGCCGGCAAATCATCTGAACCTTGTGTAGAGGAGGTAGTACATAAATCGAGCCAATACAAAATACACTGGTAGTGCTCTAGCCAGGACTACTTCTCCGCCAATTGATGGGAGAGCCTGGTGAGCGGGGTTCAGAAGGAACAAACTAAACATGAGCGGGGGCAGCAAATGGAAACAAACTCGCTGCATCCTGTTCAGAGGGTCACTGCAACTCAGGGTGTCCTGGTCAGCATTGCAGGCCCAGAAATTCATGTTTCGCTCTTTGACTAGGGAAGATCCTCCGACTTCAAACCAGAGTTACCATATCCACTAAGGTTCCACCCCTTGTACTGGGGCTTGCCGCCGGTCTTCGCAATCTGCAGAGCAGAAGGGGGTGGGTTATGCGGCGGTAGGCCATGCTTTGGTCGAACAGGCGCCCGGGGCAGCGATGAATGGGCCGCAGGAAGCGTGCTTTCGCTTTGAGGTGCCCGTTGTTCCGCCGCACCAGAGTGCTGACTATTGGCAGCGGCAGCTTCGGCATTCTTTTGCTCAGAGATTACGCCCTTTTCTCGTAGATACTGAATAGACCGCAGGACAGTCAGATCTTCCTGGTCCTTGTCGTTGAGGACCAGACGTTGCTGGATCGTCAGGTTGCCGTTATTGGCTTCGCGCTCTTTCATGGCCGCTTCTCTGACTTCAGGGTCATGGACGAAGCGGCACTTGCCCTTCTTGCCGCATGTACCACCGGTGGAATAATACTTGCAGTGCTTGCTGACATCTGCCTTCTTCGCTGGAGGAGGCGGCGCCGGAAGATGTTGCGAGCGGGTCGACAGAACTTCGGGCTGGTCGTCACCTGAACCCACATCAGAGAGAACAGGACTGTCCCTCATCTCGTCACCCTCGTCCTGCTGCTCGCGCTTCCGTTTGATGGATGACTCAACCATTTCGAGTTGCTTTCTCAGCTTCTGAGCCATCTTTTCTTGCCTTTCAAGGGCAGCTGCGCGTTTGTCGCCATGTTGATTGTTTGCCACCTCGGCATCCTTCTTGGCCTTTGAACGGGCAGCAGTGGGGAAGTTCTTTCTTCTGTCCGCAATGTATGAAGCAATATCGCAGACTCTGGTCATGGTGTTAAGAGCGCTCCGGAAAGAACAAACAGGAAAGGAAATCACCTACTGAAGAGCATCTTGACCGATGAGTTGGCGGAGTGTCTCCTCTTCTTTCTCATCATCCTCAGATTCCGAGTCTTGACCCGGTGTGAGCCCGAGCGTGTTGGTCTTCCTCTTCTTCTTCTTTCCAGAAGCGTTGGAGTCTTGCTTTTGAGAATGAGATGGGCCATCAGGACGCTGTCCTCCATGTCGCGGTCGATTCTTATCGCCGCCATGGTGATTGCCTTTGCCTCGCATGTTGCCACCACCGCCACCGCCACGGAAGCCGCCCCTGCCACGTCCGGAGTGATTTCCGTCATGCTTATTATAGTGGTCACGGCCAGAACGAGGAGTTGAAACGTGTGAAGGAGGGGGAGGAGCAGGTGGATAGGCATGATATTGGGGCTGGTGCTGAGGGGCTTGGGGGTACGCGCCGTGGGCACGAGGATCTGGGCCAGGGTAAGGCTGAGGATAGCTGCCGCTCACTTGAGGCTGCATGCCTGGGGTAGGATACTCGACGCGAGCCTGGTCTCCCGAACTTGGAGCCCTCGATGCGTTCCTGTCACTTCCGTATCCGCCCCGATGGTGTCCACCGCCGTATGGAGGCTGAGATCGGTCGTTACCCGCCCAGCCCTGCGGCGCGTTATAGGGGGGAGGTGCTGCGTAATGATATTGCTGTTGCTGCTGTGCGGTGGGGGGACCGCCGTAGGCTGGCTGGTGTGCAGGAGGCTGGGAATGTGCGTATGCCTGGGGAGCATAGTTTGGATGGTAGTTGGCAGTCGAGAGAGGCGCTGGCGCATGGGGCTGGTGCTGTGTAGGTGTCGGTGTATGACCTTGAGGCCATTGCTGATGCTGTGGAGGGTAATTCCCGGGCGGGGGTTGAGGAGCAGGATAGCCAGCGGCGTGAGGTGCGTAATGTTGTTGCTGGCTGTGGCCGCCGTACTCGTAATGGGGAGGTGTTGGTGTGTACTCTGGGCGACCGCCAGCAGGATACCCAGCTCGACCCCTACCAGCCGGAGAACCGCCATTACGAGGTCCGCTATGTTGGTATTGGGCACCATGATGGCTATAGCCAGCGTGTCCCGATTGCGATGCCTGAGGGGGTGGAGGCGGAGGGCCGTAGTTGTAGCCCGACATGGCGGGCTATCGTGTCGAAACGCGGCCAACTAAGGCCTCCAGAAGATCCTTGAGAACCAAGAAATGAATTCACAGCTTCGAGGCGTTTGGGTTCGTAAGAGTGCCGAAAGACAGGCAAGCGAGCCGGAGTGAAATCAGGCGGCGAGGCTGTGTGACCGTTCTTTGGACTCTCGAAGCCTGAAATGCTGTTCGGGCTTATCCTGTAATATAGGCCACGAGGAAGTGGCGAAGCAGTTGTTCCCGGGGAGGTGCCTGGGGTCAATGATTGCCAGTTCGAGGGAGGCGGTGGTGAAGATGGAGCAGCTGTGGACGATGAATTGGTTGAATGATGAGAAAGCGACCTTGGCTGGCAGATTCCGACTCGAGGAACATGAACAGGAGGTGTCGCGGCTTGGTGGAGATATGCCTTTTCCTGCATAGCGCTAGCACATAGTGAAGGTCAGTGAGCGCAGGGCCCCGTAGAGGACGACTCTGATTTCTACGTTAAGTAGGCGGTCAGAGTGGGGTCGGTGTGGTTCACGATTCTGCCGACCTTCCCTCTTCAGAAATCAGCATCATATTCACCACGATCTTCAATTGAACTTACTGCCCAGCCATATTTACGTGTTCATTCCCCGTCAAGACCCAAGAGTCATTTGTTCTGGCGGCTTGCTATGGATGTAGCACTGTGTGGACCATAAACCCCCCGCTGATATGTTTATTCTCGTGAGTCTTCCAGAAGGCTTTTTTTTTCTTCCCAGAAGGGTACGGTTCTGACTGTCACTCGGTAGACCAAAATCGCGGATCTGGTCCAGATCGCGCCCGACGATTTCAAAAAAAGAAGCATCGTGGCCATTGAAGACAACATCAACGCCAAGTATGCAAATCGTGTCATTCAGAAAATCGGGCTTTGCATTTGCCTTTATGATCTCCTGTGGACCTCAGAGGGGCTTATCGGCCATGGCACAGGCTTGGTGAACGTGAATGGTAAAAACGGCGCTCTATTGGTTCCCAAAACGACGACTGACAGCCTTTAGTCGAGTTCCGCCTCGTCGTTTTCCGGCCCTTCAAGGGTGAGGTCATGCTCGGCCGTATTCGAAGTGCGACCCCAGCGGGCATCAACCGTGAGTCCCACTGCTAGCTGAGGCATCGGTTCGATTCTAACACTGAAAACAGTCCGCACTGACTTCTTTGACGACATCTTCGTCCCCTTTGAGGATCTTCCCGAGGGAGCCGAGTTCAACCACCGGGATCAGATCTGGATATGGAACTGTGACGAGGAAACGCAGCTGTTCTACGACATTCACGAAATGGTTCGCTTCCAGGTCATCGATGAGGAATGGCACGACCAGGCGCCGCTGGGTCCAAGCCAGTCGGAGGAGGAGGTACTTCCCACGCCCTACAAGATCAAGGGCTCCATGGCCATGGATGGACTGGGTGTCTGCCTTTGGTGGGATGGCGAAGGAAACGAGGAGCAGGAACAGGCTGTTTGAAGGGGGGACGCATAGCTGGCGGCGGAATTGGCTGGCACGGATTATTTGTCTATGAGTTTCTATGTTCTGATACCCTGGAGCAGCCTCTGCTCATCTTCATCGAGACAGAGTAATTTCAAAACGGCGATGTTCTCAGCCTCACCCTGGAAGAGCTTGTCAGGGTCCTCCCAGGGCCAAACATCTGGGCGTTTTGTGGGGGTCCCATCTGGCCCATTTGCTGGGCCATTTGGCTGGCGGCTGGGAAATGTCAGTGATTACTGCATCAAAACCAGAAGAATCCAACCATGCTTACCGTTGTCACTGCCCAGGAGGAAGACGAAGACAGACTGAAGACCAAAGATGCAGAGGAAGTACCACGAAATGCTGGACATCCAACGGGGATCTAGGTCCTTGGTCGCAACGCCAGACTGCAGCATGCTCTTGAATTTGATGGTGATGGGGAAAGGCAGTTTCACTGCGAGATATTAGCACGCGACCGTATGGTTCAAGTTCAGGTGCGTCATACTGATAACGTATCCGCTGAAGAAAGCGTTGATCCAGCTCATGATGAGGGTGTTGGGAATGATCATGGCCATGTTGTTCTTCATCATACCCATCATGCCGTCCATGGCACTCGGGTCGGACAGAGGGTTGGCGGGGGGCTGGCCCTTGCTGTCGGGGTTCTTAAGGTACGCGCCTGATTCGTATGAAGAGATGAGCTGCTCGCGGCGCGCCTCAAAGGACTTCTTCGACAGGACGTAGTGGTGGTTGCGGACGGACTGGCCGTGGATCATGGCGCGCTGTTCCTTCATTGTCGGCTTGTCGATGACTTTGGGTGCGTTGGCAAGCAGGATGGCGGCATAGTGACGGAGAATACCGGTAAGAATCATGACAATGGTGATTGGTACGAGGATCCAGTAGCTAGAGTCAATGGTTAGCATCGCCAGAAAGACGCATCGAGCGGGGATGCGCACAAGAGCTGGGGATCCCGATGGATCGTCTGAACCGGTGGTTGGGCCATGGCTTTCGATTCAATGAGCTTCCCTCTTCACGCAGATGGAGTGCAGTATGTTGCGCAGCGATAGGAGGCCCGGCACGTCGTGAAGTCGGAAGCTGGCGGGCAATTCGGAAACACGACGTTGGAGTTGCGGTTGGAGCTCCTCTTTGCCTTGTGGCCAGCTTTGGCACCCTACGCAGCAACATCAGCGGCACTAGTCCGCATTGGGTCAAGCACCCCGCTTGCCGAACTGCAGCAGGGGACGGTGCTAGGTACACCAAGACATCGCGACAGGCCAGCCTGGAGCTTAGACAAGCTTCACTGCCTGTCACTCTGGTCTTCTTCCACACCGCAGCATAGAACACAGCCTTGCACCAGCGCACTGCGGAACACCTCTCCAAACATTTCGTCGTTGCTGCTCCACAGACCAGCAATCATGTCGTCCGAAGAAAGAATAACCGTCCACAATCTGGCGGGTGAGATCACCACTTGCACCACGGTAGCTCTAGGGCTCCCACTAACTCGGAGTTATTCAGATCTCAAGAACACCTCAGACGACGCGATCCCCAACTACCTCAACTCTCTCAAATTTACTCAGACCCATACGCTAGTTGATATACGTCTCGCCCTCGGCTATACCGCCTTCGCCATCGCCGGTGCCTGCTTCGCCTGGGACTACAAGTTCGGCTTCGACGCAACAAAGCAGTACTCGGCCGTCGCCGTCGCCCTTTACACGCTCATCAACAGCGCTCTGACCCTCTGGATCTGGCTCGTCGAGAAGGGCGTGATCTACCAGGGAACATCCCCCTCTGGCGAGAAGGTAATGTGCCACTGGCCATCCTGAACCGCTCTCAGCACAGTCAGCTAACAAACTACCCCCCCCAGATCTCCGTCGCTACTTCAACAGTCAAGAACGTCCCTACCTACCACCTCAAGATCACCCTGACCCCCAAGTCCGGCGCTCCCACAACCATTGATCTCGCCAAGCCCTTCGCCCAGTGGTTCGACTCCAAGGGCACATTCGTCGTCGTTCCCTTCCAGGAGATGCTCGCAACCGGCGTCCCAGCCATCGGCAAGCTCGACACGCGCCGCGTCCGCTCCGGCGCTGAAACTGAGAAGCAGCAGGATGCGTACGACCCTGCTGTCCTCGACGCTGTCCTCGCCGCTCAGTCTTCGGCTTCGGCGACGGGAAGCGCGGCAGAGAGCAAGTCTGCAAAGCGGAGGAAGGCGTAGGAGCATTTGGTATTGGGGCGGTTTGGGCCAGGGACAGTCTTCCGAGGGATTTCGTGACTTTCTTTCGGAAGTGCTACGCTTTGAAAATCAAAAGAAAGTATCCAAAAGCTGGGAAGACATTCATGTTCGGCGTTATTCAAAGCGTGAGCAGCGCATGGGCGCAATGAAATATTCCGCGGCATCACAGGTCCATGGTTGGAATACTGCTGCATCTCGAATGAAAGGAAACCAAAATCAAAGAACATCTTTTCAGTGTCAAATGTGATGATACATGCATGTCTAAGATGGTGGACCCTCCTAAATTAACGCACAGAGAGTTCTTCTACTTGGTGTATACAACCTCTTATCTAACGGGGTCCCACGCCGCCCGAGCATCCAGGGCAGCACGTCTGATCTCTCGCACACTATCACCAGAAGCCCTCGCCAGCGAGCGACGCACCGCCGATGCAGCAGAAAGCAGATCACCCCGCTCACAGTAGGCTGGCAGAGCACCCAGAAGCTTCACCGCCAGGCGCCTCGACTGCTTGGAGCTGCGGCCTGTGGGATCCAGCTGGTGGAAGCCCGCCGGCATCCAGTCCTCAGTCCGTGACTCCCCCTTCCCTTCGAGCACGGCGCTGCATTCTCGGATGACGCTCTTCGCGAAGGGCTTGACCTTGTCAGGGGCGCTGGAGCAGATGCGCAGTAGCACCGTCAGGCCGGCCTCAAGATCTGGACCGGCGCCAATGTTGCGGGCAACGCAGATGATGAGACGGATCAAGTCGTCAGCATCCTCCTCGTACACCGTGTAGTCCAACCACTGAGTGGCGGAAAGAACGGCTATACTGTAGTTGGCCGTGATGAGGGTGTTGTCTTGGCTGTTGGTGCCTATACCCCAGGCCTTGGCCAGCATGGGCTTGATGATCTCGACATACGCGCGCTGCCGCCATAAGGGGCTGAAGAGCTTGGGGTTGTACTCTTTCTGAAGGCAGTCTTGGTCACGGAAGAGCAGTCCGACTCTGCGAGCGAGAACGTGGCCAATCTTCTGGTCAGCAGGCCCTTTGATGATGCCAGCGATAACATTGCCCAGGTAGCCACCCTTGTATTTCCTCAGAATACCAGCGACGGCGGCAAAAACAGGGCGCGCAATGAGTGCTCGATTGTCGTCTGGGGGTCCGGCTTCGGTGTCGGAACAAGGACTAATTGCAAGCTCTATCTGCGAGTTGAGGCTCTCGAGAATATCAGTCATGTCTGCTGCGACACACTTGTTGGCGAGGCTGGTCAATATAGCCAGAACGACAGCCCGCGATCGTGGGGAGGCAGCGTGGTCTTTGAACAAAAGACCAGCAACTAGGATGCGATGCAAAATTCCCTTGGTGACCTGGTGATGGGTTAGAAGAATACTGGACTAATGAAGGAAGGGCACGTACTCCTGCATCATTGCTCGGGTCAAAGATGGATGCTGGCAGCTGAAGAGGCACTAGCAGACCAAAAGAAAGGATGATGGTACGTCCTTCAGAAAGACCGCTGAGAGGGAACCTGGGAGGGTTGGTCTGGCTAAGGCTAGAGTCGAATATCCAGTCTTTTTGTGCCAGCTCCCGATACGAGGCGGTTTGACCATCGGCTTGAGGAATGAGATCATCTGAGTGGAAGAGACTAGGAACCTCCTCAATCAGAGACAAGGCGTCCTGCTGGCTTCGGTTCATCTGTGACACAATGAACTTGGCAGTATCGGAAAGGAGTTGTAGGTATTGATCTTGACTTTGCTCCTCTTCGTCGCTGCCCTCCTTGAAGTCTGAACTGAGTGCAATCGAGGCGCTCACGTTGTCTTCGGGAGAAACAATAGCCGTTGCGCGCCTGTAGAGCTGTCTTGTGACAAACAGACTGATGAGAAGGAAGTCGCCGATGAGCTGATCTGCCGCATCTTCCGCGGCCGATGTCTCGATATCACCAGTCTTGAACTCTGAAAGCGCTTCCTGTGTCTGTGCTGTGACAAGACTAGGGAAGCGTTGAGAGACGTATTGCACCCAACGCTCTGCTGAGAAACGAGGATCTGCCTTCTCACGAGTGGCGTCCTCGTTTTGCTGACGTTCATTGCCTTGTCGCAACTCTGTTTTGATGGTCCGTCCTAGCGACGCCTTACAGGCATCACGGAAGTACCTCATTGCCGCTTGAACGCCAATAGCATACTCCACCCAAACATTCGCTGTCGCCTCTGAGTCGAAGCTTGAGCTCAATTGGCTCAAGAAAGTGCCAAGGAGCAGCACAAAGTGTTTCGTTTTCTCTCCAGATTTCGGGACCTCGGAACAGCCGGTGAAGGCTAGCTTAGGCAGGATATAGTGGAGTGTTGCCTGAAGCTCAGCCGGCGAGCTTGAGGCTGCCGAGCGGCAGACAGTGGAGCTATCTGAGACGAGCTTGGGGAAGACAGGTGGAAAAATAATACTGGCTTTTTGCAGGGCAAACAGGGTTTGGTCAACTAGGGCAGAAGTTGATTCAGACGCGGCGTCGTGCTGAGCAGCGAAGAGGAATGTCGAAAGTTCAGAACAGATTTCTGAAGCCGCTTCCTCACGCAGCATCAAACCGAATTTGGACCCTGAGCTGGCGGATGGTTGGATGACAAGCAAGCCCATGCCCTCAATGGCCTCCAGGCCAATGCTGACAACATCTTTTGGTGCACCTGGGTTTGTAGCCTGGTGAAAGGGTAGCGCATACGCTTCTCGGTGAAGAGACACGAATGCTGGCTCGGTAGAACGGAAGGCCTGTAGATCGTCTGCGGTCATTGAGGGATCAACCAGTGCGGCGCGCAGTTTGAGGAGGGCGTTGGAAAGCGCCAACAGGCTGCGTGTGTGTTCAGAAGAGCGAGTGTGGCGGAGGTTTTCCTTGACATGCGTCAATGTCGGAGAAACCATGATAGCAAAAGCTGACGGCTTGGCTCCATGGACTGCAACCAAGAGCTTGCCGGACCCTGTAGCGTACGTCGGGTTGGACAGGTCGTCGAGACAATCTCTTTGAACGGTAAGGGCGAAGTCTCGAAGGTCATTACCTGTCAGCTTCTCCGCTATCGTTCGGATGACTTCAAGAGTTCCCTTGATTGTGTCTTCAATTTCACCATTGCGAACCTCATACTTGAGGCTCGTCCAGATCTTGTCAACGTAGGGGACAAGACCTTGCTGTACATGCGTGTAATTGTCGATACAAGCCTTGATAGTCTTCAAAATATCCAACTGTGGTCTGGTCAACGATCTGGTCGTTTCTCTTTAGCCCAGGGCTACCTACCTTGACGTTGACGGTGACAGAGTCCCCCGAATCTAGCCGCCCGACAAGGTAAGGGATTGTGAGGGAAGCAAGTCGATAATGAGCGGCAAAGCAGCCTCGTAGCGCAAGCTTCAGATCGTCTGCCGTAATTCCTGAAGGGTGTTGGGACGTCCTCAGAGAAATGGGGAAGTAGGCCGAGAACACATTGAATACTTCTTCTGCGAGCTCATTTGCGGCAGAGTAATCGGCGAGGAAAGTCTTCAGGATGCCGAACCAGGTGATCAGGCACTTGGGGTCACGCTCATTGCGGCACAGCTGCAGAAGGTCGGTCATGAAGCCGGACGTGGAGCCGTAACGGTACTGCAGGTCGTTGGAGACGTCAGGTCGACTGATCAGGACGTTGATCAAGTCGTAGATTACGGATCGAGTCTCCGAAACCTGTAACTTGAAGTCATCTTTGAGGGTGCAAATGCTTGAGATGATCTTATCTCCATCAGTAGCCTGGAAGCCTTCCATGTTACTCAGGTGAGTAAGCGCTTTGGCGGCAGGGAGAACTCCAGCTTTGACATCGAAGTCAAACATGTTGCCAAAGAAGTGGATTAATGTGGCAACTTGGCTCGGTCAGTACATGTTGCTGTGCGGCGGGCAGAACGAGGCATACCTTTGCTGGGCTTGAGAAGCCTAGGGTCCAAGACCTCAAGAGTATCTGCTAGGAAACTCAAAGCTAAATTCAAGTCAGAAAATGAGTTCATCTCGAGCACCGAATTTCCTCTAACCGTTTGATCGAGCGATCAAATCACCCTCTGCTTCGCCCTCCTGGCCGTGGTCCATGGCATCGTCACCACGGCCGGCAATCCATGGTTGAATGGACTGTGACCATCGAGCAATCGCATTGTCAGGTCTGGGGTCGTTTTGAATGACTGTGCTGTTGTCAGCTTGCAAACCACGCAGCGCACAGCGAACCTATCAAGATTTCATACCTGAAGCCGACTCCTGGGCAATCTCTTGCTTGCGAGCGACATTGTCGCTCAGGACAAACTCAAGAGCCAACTTGCGGAAGTCTGCCATGTCTGAGGGTATTCTATGTCAGGCAGAATATGAGAATGTTATCCCGCACCGTCTCGACAGGCACAATGCCAAGCAAGTCAAGATGAATGACTGAGGAGTGACCGGCTGTTGTGACGCAGAAACCAAGGATTCACAACGAGGGCGCTGAGAATGTCCCTTGGAGATATCCTGAAGCAGCGAGAAAGGCTCAGTTGAGTACCTAGGTAGGTAAGAAAGCCCTGGCGAGTATACGCTTCGAAGGTTCACTCCCGCAATACCTTATGCTGAAACCACCAAAGTCCAGGTGCCCCGCGCTCGGAAATGCAGCACAGGGAGGGGTACTTTGGTGGGGGAAGGGGGGGGGGGGGCAATGAGGGTCAGACGTGCGCGATGTCGTCTGTCTCGGTGAGGATAAAAAGAAAACCGAGCGAAAGAATGCACAGCTGATGCGATAGTGAGTTGCTCATGCGCTATGAGGTGCAGTCGGTCGTTGCGGTTTGGTAATCATCGCCTTTTGGCTGGGCGGCTTGTCACCCACACACTCAGCGTTGCTGCAGTGGCAGAAAGCGGCTTCGGCGGTGACAGCAGCCTTATCGAGCTTATCGCATTTTCGCTTAGCGCCTTGTGTATACAGCGTGCCACCTGCGCCAGCGGAACAGTGTTCAGCTTCTGGAACGTGTCAACCAGAAGCTGAGGCTGCTTTATGATAACCAGGGAACCCTGAATTCTGCACAAAAACAGTGATTGATCCTCAGTCACACATCAATTTTGTAACTTTCCAGACAGAATTGTCAACAGAAACTCGAATGGTTCATCTCCCAGGGTGACATGCGACCACTGTACCGCTGACGTCAAAAGTTGAAGCGAAGAGCTAGACTCAAAGTAGTAAGAGGGGCAGATATTTCGCACCGGATGTAGCAGGTTAGAGCTCTCGCTGCCCTACAGGCTTGGGTGGGCATGAATGTACTCAGCAAGCAAACTGCCTGGCCTTCAAGAAATTGACTCAGCTTTTGTAAAGCGGCGGGTCTCAGGTACCCCCAGGGTCCTGAATTTTTTTGCAGCGACGGTCGATGTCGGAGCGCGGTGCCCCTCCAAAAAAAAAAAAGTGACTCGCGAGTCTCAAGTCGCGCTGTCCTTTGATTTCATTGTTCCCCCTCTGTGTGATCTTGTCTTTTCGCATCCAGGATCAATCTTGTGCTGCGCCGTAGAAACCTGAACTGGGACCTTCATCTTCCCGAAGCCAGAGCATCCGATATTTTTCCACAGACCTGTGTACGTCTTCACCCCCAATGCCTGCTTCTCCACGGTGCGCCGGCGCAACGTGGGGTTGACGATGGTGGGGCAGCCAACTCATGTTGTTGTAGGACTCGTAGTGAAAGCCACAGCGCCGTTCAGGTGAGGCGTGATACAGACAGCCTTGTTTGATGTCTTGCCGTGGCTAATCGGGTGCCAGTGACACCTCAGATTCGTAATCATGGCGTCCAACGAGGTTCCCAAGACCTGCAAGGTCATCCTGGCCGACACCATCGCCAAGAAGCTGCTGGCGGAGGTTCACGACACCCTCCAGAAGATCCAGGGTGCTGTCGATCGCAAGCCCAGCCTTGTGGCTTTCCTCGCCAACGATGACCCCGCCGCTCTCAAGTACGCCGAGTGGTCCCAGAAGACGTGCCAGGAAAAGTGAGTTCGATGCTGCGCAGACAGTCTCGTGAGGACGCGACATAAAGACGGACGCCAGTGATTAACCAAAATGCAGTGGCTTCGACTTTGACCTCCGCAAGGTCGACAATCAGGAGCTCGAGGAGAAGATCATGGAGGCCAACGACGACGACAAGGTCGACGGCATGATTGTCTACTACCCCATCTTCCCCGGCAACCCGATCCACGACAAGTACATCCAGGAGACCGTGTCGCTGGCCAAGGACGTCGAGGGCCTCTGCCACAAGCACCTCTACAACATGTACCACAATGTCCGCTTCCTCGACCCGGAGCACCAGCTGAAGAAGTCGATCCTGCCCTGCACGCCGCTGGCTGTCGTCAAGATCCTCGAGCACCTGCAGATCTACAACCCCATCCTCGCGTCGGGCAACCGCCTCTACGGCAAGACCATCACCGTCATCAACCGCTCCGAGGTCAACGGCCGGCCCCTGGCCGCGCTCCTCGCCAACGACGGCGCCCAGGTCTACTCGGTCGACATCACCGGCGTGCAGCTCTTCACGCGCGGCCAGGGCATCAAGCAGCCGCGCCACCAGGCCGAGGAGAAGAAGGGCTGGGGCCTCGAGCAGTGCCTGCCCCTCAGCGACGTCATCATCGGCGGCGTGCCGTCGGAGAACTACAAGGTCCCCATCGACCTCATCCGTGAGGGCGCCGTGTGCATCAACTTTTCGTCATTCCGGAACTTTGACGGCCCGGCGGTCAAGGAAAAGGCGTCCATCTATGTGCCCTCCGTGGGCAAGGTGACCATTGCGGTCCTGTTGCGAAACCTGGTGGTACGTTTGTGATTTCCGGCTCCCTTTGGCGCTACAGAAGCTAACAGTGTGCAGCGCTTGATTGCGAATCGCCCGACAACCAAGGACAACGGTACAGAAGATGCGAGCACGGCGCAGGCCAGGAGCGAGGCGTTCACGGAGGGTTAAAGTGTGGATCGTAAATACCACGTAGCGACGACGGTGGGTGTTCAAAAACTCAGAGAGTGACACGCAAGGGACAGGGAAACACTGGTGGTTGTCGGGAGAAGTTTCGTGGCGAACAAAAATTTAGAATCATGGGCATATCGGCAGCCAGGGAGGAGAGCAACAACGAATATTTGACAGGCAGAATGTCGGCTGCTTGAGCCGGGACGTTTCATCTCCGATCGTCGAATCCCAAGGGCGGGCCTGGGGGATGGCACGAGGAACAGTGGACAAAGGACGAAATCAAAACAAATAGGCCCAAGCATTGGGGTCTTCCACCACCGATCGAGAAGGCGTGAAACGAAATCGAATGCCTGCCAGATTCAGGCCTTCCAGCCGATGAAGCTTGCTGCCACGCGAGATAAGCGACATGAGCGGGCGGAGGATGTAAGATTCGAGGGGCCGACACTGTCACATTGGACCGTATTCGTGCGGAGCGGACGCTGGATTGCCTTCGATAGTGGCCGTCACATCACAATCTGGCTATTCATGCCTACTCTTTCAGGAGCATCAACATGGAAAGTCCCATGTGAAAAGGCACATTACGGTTATTATGCACTCGTTCTCTTATTTGGACCAGAGCATTGCGAAGCCACGAGGACGATGTGTGATCTATGTGATCGGCTGTCAGCTGCCCAGGCCGTTAGGGCTGTCAGAAGTAGACGAGGACAATCCTCCGATGCCATGCCATGACAGGCGCGGATCTTGGCAGTGCGGGAGGGCCCCCCGGCAGCGAGAATCAAGGTCCGACCGACTCAGGGTGAAGCAGGAGTGGCTCAATTACAGAGGAGTCGCACCGACGACCTGAGTCAAATGGCTGGAGAAGACGAAAGACTGGCAAGGCAGGCGAATGAACGGGGTCGGGGCGTGGAGCGGGGCGAGAGAGAAAAAATAAGCTAGACGTGACCATGGGAGGGAAAGGGCTGGTCAATTGCCGGGTTTTGGCACGACGTCCACTGGGGAGGGGGGTGCTGGATGGGCTAGATGGCCTGTGAAACAGCGCTTGGCTTGCCTGGCTCGGCGCTGAAGACGAGCGCGGGGGGCATTCGGCGGCGCGTGCACTCGGAGCCAAGGTCCATCGAAGGCCAAGAAAGGGCAGGATTTGAGCTGGGACTTGCCTGGCAGGCGGGCAAGCAGGTAAGGTACATGGTAGGCTGGCAGGGGTGGTCTCGAAATCTCAGCAACTGGGATACCAATGCAGCGTCAGCAAAGTGACGGGCATACGAGAGATTGATGAGGAAATTTGACCGGACATGGGATATGCTCGCCAGCTGCTTGCTGCACTGTACATGTACAGTACGCACCATGTACAGGTACAGCACGACGAAGGTTCTCAGCAGATGTCTGCCAAGGGAGCAAGCAGCAAATCAAACAAGGGTGCTGGCCCGCGGCTGTCGCAAGAGGAAGCTCCCATCAAGACGTGAAAGGGCGGGCAGGTAGGCACGAAGGCCGATCGACACCTGCCTCCTCAGCAAAGGGAGTTCGTCGCAAAGAAGCAAGAACCGTCCCAGCCAGAGTCAATCGTCGCTTCCCGGTCCACCATCTCAGATCTCCCGTTCCGGGTTCAGTGTCAAACCTGAGCAGAGACGCAGGGGCAGACAACCGCAATCCAGTACTGCTTCGTCCTCACCCATCCTTGCCATGCTTCCAGCCATTCCCCAATTCGTCCACACTTTGCATCTGATGTAACCCACGCAAGGTGCAACTTTGGACAGGCCATCCAATCTTATCGAACATCAACCCTCCTCCAACCCACCCCTGAGGCCTTGGTTTGCTGCCCTGGTCTGCCCATCAAAATTCAGCGCGCCGACGCTTATCCGCCAGGCCGTTCAATACGCCAGGGGCGCATGCCTACAGTACACGCCTTTGTTCGATTCAACTACTGTAGACTCGACTCAACTCGACTCAACTCGATCCGCCTTGTCCTTCAGCGCCCCCAACATTCCAGCCATCCAAGCCGGCTCAGCTTTAGCTCCAGGCCCCCGACCGAAAAAGCAAGACACTAGTCAAGAAGCGACGAGCCAACGACTACGACGAACCAAACAAAACGAAGCACATTGACACCTGGATGTCTCGTACCCACGCGGCATTCAACTACTCACCGCATTCGCCCCTCTCCACCGAGCGCAAACCACTTGGGACGAGGGTCGCCTGAGTCGTTCCACGACGAAGACGTCTTTCTCAAAGACAAGCCTACCTCGGAAGGAGAAGTGGAAGGAGACTCGCCCAGGATTCCTTCTCGACGACGACCATCTGACGGCTACTACGACGACAAACATCGCCGACGACGACCATCAACGACCAATGACCGCCCCATGATTCCTTTACTGCAACCCGTACACCTTTTCGCATTCAACCTCCCCTGCATACTGTTACATAAACAGGACTGCCTATCAACTCCCCGTTTTGAGTTTTTCTTCGACAATCCCAACCGAAATACACTTGCCGTGAACATTGAACCTGTCTGCTTCCACGCTCTGGCGACGGCGCTCGGAAGGAGGGAAAAGATCCGACTGCTTCGGGTGCTGGTCTTCTCGATTGCATCTGCCTAAAGGGACCGCAACCTGCTGTCGCACAGCATCAAACGAACGACAACAAAGAGATTTCGGCGTCTGTACACACAAAATCGCTTCACAAGCGCGTCAGGCCAAAGGAGCGCAAAGCCGCACAGAAGGGCGCGCTGCTGCTGCCTCTGAACAAAGCCAGACATGGCCACGCAGACACTTCACGCCCATGCCAGGCAAGGCTCCAACACGAGCTCGACAATGTCCATGGGCATGTCGTACCCGCCTGCGCCTGGCTCGCCCACTCTGACGAATCCCGACATGATTCTACCAGACTACGGCGGCGGCTCCCCTGACCGATCCGAATCGCCCCTCATGATGTGGAAGAATGCCCATGCCAGCGATGCCAACTATCAATCTTCCTCCCTGAACCACTTTGGTTCGGGGCCCATTACGCCCACGACGCCCATCATCTACGGTAACGGCACGATGCTGTCCGATATTGGCGAGGTGACTGAAGTCGAAAGCACCGTCGGCAAGCCTTCCTGGCCTGTTGCTCCACGTCGCCATGTCACACAGCCCGATTCAACAAAAGACACCATGCTGCAGCCCTCACCCTCCGTGGCTCTTGATGCAATGAAGAGGCGTGCCAAGGTTCAGCAATTGAGACGCGCATCCATCGATTCGACAAGTACCGTCACCACACAGGGCAACAATGGCCATTTCGCCGATTTTGACGACGATGTCAGCGTTGACGACAGCAACTTCCAGGGTGATGATGAAGAGAGCGTTGCCGAGTCGCACATTGACGACACCACTGCCCGGCAGGCCAAATTCATGCCCTTGCCTCCGGGCCAGGGCTTGGGAATGAACAATGAGAACAGACACTCTACAGTTTCCATCAGCCAGAAAGCGGAAGAGATCCTAGCCAATGCTAAAAAGAGGCTCACGGTATGTTCCTGATTTGCATCTGTTGTTTCCACTAATCGAGGCTGACACTGTGACAGACTATGGAAGGCAACTTGTCGAGAGCACGCACGTCACTGGATACGGTCTCTACGCCTCCACACTCTTCTGTCGGATCAGGAACCCCATCCCCCCCAATCGCGAGGTCTGCTTCTGCAGCCACTTCTCCCAGGTCCGCACCAGGGCACTTCCGCATGAGGAGCGAAGCAGAAACTAACAGCGACAACGCTGGAGACTACACCAAACGGTCGGCTAGTGCTCTTGGTGCTGCAGGAGGATATCGGCAGCCTCTTCCTGGGTCTCAGAGCATGGGTGATCTCGGTCGCCCCTATGTCCGGTCGAAGATTTCACAGCAACCAATGTTGAGCACAGGGCTCGAGCCTTTGGGGGAGGAGAACGACCCACAGATGCAATCGAAACGTGACAGCGCCGTGCTCGACGCCTTTTTGAGCCCAACATTCGGTCCTCATACGCAGCTTCAACCAGACAAGGGCTTGACCCGATCGGCTTCAGTCATGCAGATGCGGGATATCAAGGATCAGGTGTCCGATCTGAAGGGGGAAAATCTCTTCGGCTACGAGAACAGGGCACGAGCGGACAGTCTGAAGCGGCGAGTCTGCAAAGCCTGGCGGACACCTAGTCCTTTTCACGCATGCAGGACCGACCAGTGTACGCTGGTACGATCGAGGCAAAGAGGTCTGGACGCCTCACTCACACCTCTGGGAAGGAAC